TTCGTTATTTCGTCATTTAACTTCCATTATGTAATCTTCATTAAATTATTAGTAATTGTATATTTTGTGATATTGATAATATTTTTATATAAACAACTAAAATTAATTACGGAGTTATTATTTATTTATAGTATTGTGATATAAATATAAATTATCATAATCACTATAAAATTGCAGCAATCGTTACCACGTAAAAATTGAAATCAGCGCCATCTACAACTAAACAATCGTTCTATCGAAAAGTACGTTTCCTGTAAACCGACATCGCCAACTGTATATAAACACTATTAACATAAGAACATTTATGAATTGTTATTTTATCGTTATTATTACGGAGATGTTATTATCATGTTTATTTATTTATAGAAATGTATATATAGACCCTATTTTATAATTTGTTATTCATTCCTTAATTAACATTCGGAGAAAACAGTTATCTATTTGTGCTATAAACTTTATTGTTATGTAAATATCATTTATTATAATTTATTAAAAGTTGCTAATGTTATAAAATTTCTTCTTATTTATTTGTAGTATTATAATATTATCATTATAATCACTACAAAATAGGTTATTTTACATTAATGATTCAAATTTTGAACTTCAAAACTTGAAGTCTTAATTTTTCGCAAACTATATTGAAACTTGGATCGAATTTTTTAGTCAACGTAATTGAAGCTTTGAAATCCGTACGTATAGAATGCAAATCAAACGCGTGAAAATGTAAAATCAATTATATTTTATATATCATAATATTACATCATAATATTTATACGAAGTTACATGACCATATTACTTTAGTGATCATGAATTGATCAAATTCTTATTTGCAAAAGAAGCTGATTGAAAGGATACATTTGTTAACTTTTATAATTCATTCACCTGTTTCAGTCTCTCAGCATTTTTCTTTATTTCGTATTTTCGACATACGAAATTCATACACAAAGATTTTTAAATTTTATTCCACTTATTTTTCGACTTATTTTCGACTAATTTTCGACTTATTTTCACACATAGAATAACCTCCTTAATTAATTATTCTTTTCTGTCGGATATAGAATTGGCTGAACTCAAGTACGTTTAATACATTTTTATGCTCGATAAACTCGAACTTTTTCAAAACTTAATAATCTTTTATGAAAAAAATTCTTCTTTCCGATTTTTTACTTGGAATCATTTTCTCCTCAATTGCACTACCAATACTGGAACACTAGCGGCGAAATGTTTAATCTCTGTCCTTGCCGCACAGTATTGCGTTCCTTGTCTATGAATAATGCTGCCATCTAAACACCTCTCAATTCTGCCTGGAACTAAAAGGGTAAAAATGAAAATTCCGACAGATGGCAGCACCTCCTCCATCTGCACAAAGGAGCACGACAGTGTGCGACAAGGACAGAGATAGCTGATTAGTTCCATCACTTTGCCACAATGCGACGCTAGTGTTTCCAATATCTATGAATCGGGCAAAACAGCTTGTTTAAAGAGATTAATTTATAAATTTTCACAATTGCACATTCCGGTATTAGCTCTCAATTTTTTTTCTTGGTCTATAATACAGACATCTTAATGTTCTATTTGATAGATTGAAGCGCTTGTTCGAATAATTTTATAGTACAGTGCACTTACAATTTGAATGCAATCGAGAATCGAAGGAAAGGAACAGTAAAAAAAAAAAAGAAAAAAAAGAAAGGGAACGTTATTTTATGTTTATATTTTTAGATAATATTTTAACGATTGAATTTCCAGTAATTTATAGTTAAACATGTATAATCGTCGAAAGTAGTAATTTTTTTGATATCAAAAATATTTGAAGTAGAGGTTTGAGATGTTTGTAAAAATAAGTCTGCATAGCTGCGCTCTTTTTCCTCGTCGTCGTCATAATGGGTAATTTAGAACGAGTTTGACGTTATACATGGAAAACAAGGTATCGTTGTAATTTTGGGATATAGAGGAAAGAAGAAAAGAAAAAAAAAATGAAACGATGGTATCGTTGTAATTTTGGGATATAGAGGAAAGAAGAAAAGAAAAAAAAAAATGAAACGATTGTCAAAACAGAATGAAATGATCGTAAAGGAAGGAGAGGTAGCCGCTTCGGATAGAGCATGGTTGAGCAGTAGCTGCTATATTGTCGCTAAGAAACGAAAATAGCTACTGTTAGCCCCAGAACGCAACGGGAAGGAGGTGGCTAAGCAAGAATTAAAGTACAAGACGATGAAGGTGGGACGAGAAAAGCCAAAACGAAACGAACGAGGGTGGTGCTCTGCCGGAACCTGGAATGAAATTAGGCACTTGCAATAGACATTACGTAATTCTGTTTAGACGTGCTTGAAAACACTCGTGTTGCTTTCCGTGCTATAAGCTCCTGACAAAAAACCGTTTAATGAAAAAAAATACTTTTTCTTTTTATTTGAAAAT